TAACCCCAAATATCAGTATTCATATTTCCAAATTTATGCATGAATTCCAACAGCAAATTTTACAATTTTCTTTAAAAGAAAATTTCAATAAGGCCTTTCACCAACATAATTCCCAGGAGGATCATAATTGCAAATAATGAACACCCCTCTTCCCGCAGTGCAAGTCACCCTCGCACACCCCATCCTCTTAGTACTGCCCCATACAATCTGAGTATAATGCCCGCACTCCTCCCCTCCAGCGCACGAATTAGACCAGTAATTGTACCATTTCCTCTCCAATACCCACGCCGCCACTGCCTGGGCCGGACTCCAGTCATTTCCACTCCCCCAGAAAATATTCTCCCCGTAAGGCCCGTTAGAATGCCTCAAAGCGCAGTCATTTCGTCGCTGGTTCGCGTACCACCGCGCGTACCGTGCCAACTTCTCGTCCCACACCAATGGACGCATCCTAACCGTGTAGCGGGCGGCGTTCTGCGGAGCCAAAAACTGGTTAATGAACCCCAGGTAGCCTCCTCGTCCTGCGAGGGCATGGGTGGTGGTGATGATGAGCAAGAAAAAAACGGCAATGGCGCTGCGGCAGCTGGCATTCATTGGGGAGGCACTGAGAAATTTTCTTTAGGGAACTTGTGTGTTTTTTACAGGGTCAATGTAACAAAGGACATGATTATGAATTTTTGTAGTAGTTAGAATAGATAGGACATAAAGTGTCAACTATGGGGTGGCAAGCATGTTCGAATATAATTGCGACTCTTTGTCTTTGTGGTGGGACCAGAAAAAAACGTCAAATTTCATTTTCACAAATTTTTACATGGCCAAAAAATTTCCACATAAATTTGCTTTTCTAGGATAACATAATTATGGACCCACGCCACCATTTATTTTCACTAAAAAAAGTCGTCTTCTATGACAGCTTTTATTACAATAATCAACGCTAAATTATATTAAAATAATATTTACGATATTTTTTACTTTAAGAAAAGCAACACAATTGAAAGGATTTTATTATTATTATTTATTTATTTATTTATTATTATTTTTTTTAGTGTTTGGGGGTAAAGGACACTCAGAATGACAAGAAATAGGGTGTGCAAGGTATTGAGGACAGCATTTTTTTAATGTTCTTTGAACAGGGGTCTCTTGTTAGTTTAGGATAGATTATAGACTTGTTTAAAGTTCCAATTCTCGTGGAATTAAAATAATGTGGTGTTTAAGCTGATTATTTTTATATGAAATTGCTGCAAAATCTAATTCAAATGAATCCAATCAAAATCTAGAGGTCACTTATCCCTTTACTAATAGTTAAATAATTTTCAAATCAGTTTATATATGCATATGTAATTTTTTTTTTCATTTATAAATCATATTCTTTTAATCTTTTCCCTTATTAATTAGTTTATTGTTGCACCTGGGCCTAGAGGCCCACTGGCATTAGCCAGCTTGTTAGGTGCATTCTCCCCTCCCCTTGGCGGATTTCGAACCCGTCCCGTGTCAAAATGTTCAAAAAAAAATAAAATTAGTTTATTGTTTTGCATTAATAATCTATATAAAAGATTGCACGAGTGAATTTTATTCCAAAATTTGGTTTGACCGTAAATAAATCCTAGGGATAAAGTAATAATTTTGACAATATATTTTAGCCAACTATAAGCAATGCATTATTCAAATTCGGCCTGGTGGGTTTTTTTTTTTTTTTTCCCCTTTTCTTTTAATAAGACAAAGCAAGAGTACATTCAAATTTGGATCCCCAACCCAATTAGTACTTAATTTTTTTTCTTAACTCTAAAATTTTTATTTTTACTTTTTGATCTTTTAATTTTTAATTTTTAAATTATTAAACACTTAGATTTTTAAATATTAAACCCTAAACTTTAAAAATTTAAATCATAACACATTAAACATAAAATTTTAAAAAAATCTAAATCCTAACATCATAAAATATAAAATTTTAAAAATCTGAATTCTAACATTATAAAATATATGGAACCCAACCAATTTAAACTCTAATACCTTAAATACTAAATCCTAAAAAAAGTTAAATACTAAACCCTAACACCCTAGACACCAAATTATAAAAAATTTTAAATCATAACAAGATTAGTTTGAATTAGTTTTTTTTTTTTTTTTTGCACAATTTGATATGGGGCAAAATTGAACCTACCCAAAGAAAGGGAGGTGCAGCTATTCAATGTGGTTAATGCCATTAATTGAAGAGCCAAATGCTAGTTTGAATTAGTTTTAATTAAGAAAAGAACAGAGACTAAAATAAATTTACATTGTTAAAAATAAATTTAAATGGTTAAAAATAAAGA